GTAACAATAAATCTAAGCTTTTAACTACTTTTGACTTGTCACTATTTCCTTTTGATCTATGTCAATGTCAAAATGCAAGACAAATGCATGAATTCTGAACAATGGTCAAACACTCTATTAATCATGCATTTTATGTTTCTGCAAACCCCATCCCCGTCACCACGACACACGTGTGTTGGAGAGAAACTCACAAGTTCAACTCCCAAACAAATTAATTATGCTCTCATATCAATTAAATGGTGAACAAACACACATACACAATGACAATGTGCTTCTATTATTGCAAACAAGGTGCACATAGAATTTACCAAGTCATATTTATGAGTTTGTTAGTACAAACACACAACAAAGATCATAAAATCTAACAAAATCAACACAATTATAAGTTAAGTGTTAAAATTTATTTATTTTAATAATCATTTATTCATGTTCAATGAAGTTTAAATAATTACATACTTATTAATTAAAGTTTTTAAAATTGTTTCACTTATATAAAAACATTGCCAGTGTAATCTGTGTAAGAAATCAGCATTACTTTCTGGAAGTTTACAATAATTTGGAATTTAAAGTGACAAATGTAACCTTCGCCAAATTTGTATCTCCATTACCTTTATGCACAAAATATTTGAGGATGGATGATGGGTGGGTAGGTGGGTGGCAGGCCAGTGAGCAGACAGAAGAATGGGTAGATAGTTGAATATGTAGGTGAGTATAGGAGCAGATGGACAGACACCATGTTCTCACATACGCAATTCATAGTGTTCAAGAAGGACGTAGTGAAACTGGACAGTGACAGAGACTAGCTCTATCTAAGGGACTGAACAGAGTAGGTACCTCTCACCTGAAGACGGAGACAGAACCAGCCTCCGAAACGTTGTGGTTTTAAAGAACAGACGATGGAAAAAGTCCTGACAATGAATAATTTTAAGTGTACAAAAATCCACTTTCATGTAGCAGCATTTGAGACATGCTACAAAGACTTGGCACAATAGCCTGGAAATACACTAAATTACCAGATGCTGAACTTTATGTGACACCACCCACAAACCACATAATTAAACTATCACTCTACATTTTTAAAACATCCATAGGGTGCACATAAAATTTTCTCTCTCACAGAAATTACACAAACATGTTACATAAATTTCTTTGATTTTAGCAAAAGACCTGTTACTTACCCCACATGGATAGGCTGTCTGTAGAGGTCTACATTGTCAGATGCATTGTTGCTGGCTAATGTCTGATAATGCTCCTTGGTCTGGCTTAGCATCAGGTCACTCACCCCTAGGGATGGGTCTATAAAAAATGTGTCAGAAAATGTATACATACTCAACTAATTCTGCCATATTTCAAAAGTCTCTCTTACAAGCAGCATATTATGGCAGGCCATCTGTTCCATCAAAACATGGACTTTGACCTTTGCAAATATACCAATGCTCTCAGTTCTTTGGGGTCAATGAACTATGGTGAGGTTGTGATGGCACCTGTCCATCTGGGTTATCATAGGGATTCCCCACACGGTTGTGGGGGTAAGATATCTGGCAGGGAATTGCACCACACGCTTTCACGGTCATTTGTATTCACGATCACACATAGGTCATCATGGAATGTAACCAATATAATTGGCTGATTATGACAAAATCTGCAAAGTGTTGACAAATCAAATTATCATATCAGATTACATGGAAATCTGCTCGGCAGTTCTTGAGCTATGCATGCAATCAGATGCACATACAGACATGGTGATGCTAAAAGACACATTTCTGCAACTTCGTTGCAGACAGGCATAAAAACAAAAGGCTGCACAATTTTGTTGTACATAAGTGGCTCAAATTTGACATAGAATTTTGATCATAGTTTCCCTTATACTGGAAAAATCAATTCAAGCCCCCCCATACTACAGGCTTGCCAGCTGGTCTTCAACTCCTGGTTAACAGTTTAATGGTATGCTAGTGCAACACACATAAAACTGGACTATACATTAAGACACAACGCACATATGATAAAGGTTAAGTGGTCTTCTAAAGTCATTTTCCCCTTTCATACACACATGTGCCCCACTTCATAAAATGACTATGGAAAAATAACATTGATCCACACTGTTGTATACAAGAAATAATAAAACTTCTGGGTGACATTCATAACACCCTTATATGAAACTGATAAAATACAAATGTGGACAGGCTACTTTAATTTTATCAGTGCAGTTAGGAGTTCCAATTTATTGTAATACTGATAGAGTTAATGCAATGTTTTATTTATATGCTCGCTAAATTTCTACAGAGAAGTAAAATATTTGTTCTGACAAATTAGAACACTGAAACTAGTCCTTACCCATGGACACTCTGTTTGATTCAGCCCTCTCATCTCTTGTAACATCAATCTGTAGTGAATCATCACCAAGAGACTTCATATCATCCACAGTCATGTAGCGGTAGTGCTGATGGTCATTCATCAGGGGATCTTCACCTGGAGTGAATCAAACAAATTGAAGAAACCTGTGTTTGTGGACAAGTGTTCTGACCACAGAAGAGTGAAGGTTGCAGAAGAGAAACAACACTTCGCAATGTTATGTGTATTGCACAGTCACTAAGCAATGGTACAGGGACCTCTACTGAGAATTTAGAATAATGCACATCTTACACACAAATAAGCCATCTGCATAAATCAGGTCAAAGAAGGTATGACAGGATGAACGTCCAAATGCATTCTTTGTGACTTTACAGCTCTACACAGTCATGATGTCCGTTTGTTGCAGCAAGACAAAGATAACCAACAGTAGAAATATTATAGTGTACAAAGTATTTTTTTAATACTTAACTGAATATAACAATATCAAAAACTGTTTACAAAAAAATATAATTTTAACACGATACACACTTTATGCTAAATATTTTTGATAATGCACCAATGAGAAATTCAATAAAATTCAATTTTAGCTTCAAGCAATGTGAAGATACTCACCAACAGAGACAACAAATTAAATTCATATAACAGTGTAGAAACCTTCTAGTACCCAAACTTCATCAAAATTTGTGGACTGGTTTCAGGTAATTACAGACATACATGACTTCCTCATTATGCATTTGTTATGTAAAGAATGCATAATAGGACTATAAAGAGAAACTTTATAATTTCCTGTCTGATCTTGTCAGATGTTTTAAAATTAATGGTCTACATTCTTACCACATTATACAAAGCAGCAGTTAACTATTCATTATCCTCCTAATGCAATGAGTACCAAAGGCTATTACCTACATAAATACTTATATATACACAGAATTTGATATAATGATCCAAGCTAACTAGGTTATGAAATGACACAATTTAACAAGAAGGTGTGTCTGATGGAGAGAGAAGTGACTGAAGACAGTTATTATTTGCTATAAACTACACAAATACTACAGTTTGGCCTCCTGAAAACATAAAAATAATTTAACATGTTCACACTGGGGCAAACCCATAAGTGGGTCTTCCTGTATACACAGGTGAGAGTTATTCACCATAAATCATAAATTTGGTTGTAAAACAATGCATTATTCATATCTATACTTAGTTACACCCATTTGGAAAGCTATTTCCCAGTTCCCATCCTGTAGACAATCCTGGGGGTAGACTTTTAATTTACTCTATTCCAGAAGAGGCTACTCACTGGTGGTAGATCAGGTGGAAAGAATTCTTGTAGAACACAATGTCTATATAAATATCCAGACCTAGCTTGGACCATATGCATACAAACCTCTATCTAAAAATTCATACTTGTAATGCATTTTGCAGCATTTGTTTCCAAAAATGAGGTTGTGTTAGATTGCATAGTCTTAATATTAAGAGTTGTGCAACTGTGAAGTACAAAGTTAATTTGAAAAATACCTAATAAATAAAATATTTCAAGTGATCAAACTGGAACACTATACACATCTGTCTAAATACAGGCTTTATTCTCAAACATAAATCACATAACTTTCTAAAATGAGGATCTGAAGGCCCCATTAACTGGTTCAACATACTGTAGAACACAAAGCATTATTTTTTACTGCTTTCAATAACATGATTTTAAACACATTTATTTACAAGAGAAAAATAATGGACTAATGAAACAAAAATGTAAATTTAACTTGCAAATATTGAAATATGTTCTTACTTCTTTCATTTTTCACATACCAACTTTTCACTGACATGGTAAAATATATAACTGGTATACACAAACCTGAGAGATTTCCTTAATGATGAAAACAAAATTAAAAATAATAATAATCTACTCCTAGTATAACAGCAGATATATTCTGAAGGGTTCTTGGGTTTTTGGACTTTGTCCATCATCTCACGTTATACAATTACACAACATTTCAAGGACTGGATCTGTCCTCATCTTCAGGTGTGGTGAAGAGGAAGGGCATCTACTCTGTGAGAATTACTGTCACACTTAACTGTATGAGTGCACTGTTCGTGCAATGCAGAAAAATTTAAATTTAGTCCGACAGTGGCAAGTCTGGTAGCAAGAACACAATTGCTCATTGTGAAAATGTGAACAGAATCTGTTAGCACTCATTTTCTGTGACAATATTCCAGTTTGATCAACTTGTGCATTGTTATAATGTACACATTACTAATACAAACCCCAACATATGATACATAGTTTCTCTACTTATCTTCTTTACAAACATGCATACAGTTAATTTAAATAAGGGTAAAAAGGAGGTTATAAGGAAAGATAGATGTGAAATTTGTGCTTAAATAGAATGTTGCAACCAGTCTCACATAATAATGTAACTCAATCTGAATTTTGTATTACTGATCTGTTGTAACTATGGTAGCCCTTGGATTTTGAATGCACTGAAAATTTGGGCAAGTCTACCTACAGACATATACCACTCAATAAGTGTATGCAGAATTCCTGCTTCATATTTGGTAGGTGCCAAGCTCAAATTTCAGCCCAGAGACTGGCTATCCTGACTGAGATTTTTAGTGGCATTCCTCAGTCTCTCCAGGCAAATGCCAGGGTACCTTAAATTAGGTAATGACTGCTTCCTTCCACATCCTTTCCAATTCAATATTCACTATCATCCTCTCATTTGACATTAAATAGTCTGAGATACTGAAAAAGCATCCTTAAATTAACTATAAATAAATAAGAAGCAAATGGGTCAGTTTGCTGATAGCTGTGTGAAAAACACATTGAGATTTGAGGTTTTTGTGAAGTGACTTTAGCAAACATAAACCATCAGTTCTTGGTATGCTGCCTATAGAATGTATATAGTAACGCTCAGACAGACATCACAAATTCTCACACATTATTATAAAACTTAAGAAGCATGCATATGGTAGTTGGAAATGGCACAAATATAATCATCAATATCTATCAATGATAATGGTAATATAAATTCTACATGTATTAAAGAATGTCCAAAATTTATTTTTAAACAATCAAAATTTTGGTCATCTGTCCCATGCTAACGGGTACAATTTACTGTGAGACTGATTGACGGACAAGACAAAAAAAACAAATAGGACAAGGCATGGACTGGAAGAGACAGTAAACTTACGCGTGTACTGCATTTGACCTTGGTAGTAAGGCAAGTAGACATGTTGTGCGTGGGTTGGTTTGCCGTAAACATTCATCGCCATATCCAACATTTCATCGCCACCTGCATGTAGCGTACATATGGGTTTGGGATTAAGATGAGTGAGTAAGCAAGCAAGAGATAGAGAGGGGTCAGTTGACTACCCACACACCTAAGAGGATAATTCAACTTCACTACTTGCCTATGCAACATAGCTCACACAAGTGAAACTTCTCTTTTCGTTCAGCATTATATATAGTCTTCTGGGTTATAATGCTAAGTACTCTTGTAGATGGTTACTAGGTTTCTGAGGAACACTGATAACAACCTACAACACTACATGGTGTCAACACAGACGATCATAACCTTCATTTTCACTGATGTGAAACTCTACGTCTTTTAAGTATCTTAATGCACTTCAATCTGTGGTTGTTGTTGTTGGTTTATTTTGGGGGGGGCGATTTGTGCCATTACATATTTCATCCCAGAAGAATATATTTTATAATAACAACTGGGCTATTTGGATTACTAAACTATGAAGAATACCTATTTATGTTTAATTATAAAGGCTCAGAAACATTAACAGCACCTTATTATTTTGGATAACATTGTACTACTTAAGATGTTACTGTGCAAAGTACTGTAAGGGACCTGGATTAAGGAAAAGTTGCAGATAAGAATAGCAAGAAATGTCTGTGAATATACTACAGTAAGATTTTCTATTTTTAATTATAAACGTAATGTGGCTTCTCCCCACCCAGCTCTTTGACAGCTTGTGTGAACTATGTTGAACAGGTAAAAGGGTGCTAACCCATCCTGTATAAACATAACTTTTGTAACTAAGATAAATTATCTTAATGTTCCAATACTACTGCTAAACTTACAGTAATGCCAACATGCAAGATTTACTATAATACCAACACTAGGAACAAACAGCAGTATGAGAATTCAAACTAATTTTCATATTCTTTTCTTTCAAGCTGATGAATTTCTTTCCAAGTCAGATTGTGTTTTCTCACTATTCACAGAGCAATCAAATAGCAAAGTACTGAGTGACATCATTTAGTACTGCACTTAAAGTGAATGAAGACTGCAAAATATTTAAACTCCACACATTTACAAATGATACCATCTTCATGAAATGTGTACATTTGTAGCAACCTTGTAATAATTACACACCTACTTAAAATATGCATTCTTGCAATTGCTTGTGCCAGCAAGAGCGCTGTCTCTTTGTACCTCCCCAAAATTTCTACAGTTTGTTCAGTCTAATGCTGGTGCAACATGCAAAACTTTAATGGACAGAAGTGATGAACCCAAGCAGACTCCAGCAGGTCATATAACACTCAGTTTGTGACTGTTGCATTATGCACACCCTGCAATTATCTTACTGCCATAAGTTTATCATGCAATGTTTATTTCTGGGACCATTTTCCAGTACACCAAACCCCTTAGATGCAATTGTAAAGGTAGCATTCCCACTAGCAATAATTCCACTTTCAGCATAATTTTCTGGTATCCCAACCCAATACATCTTATGTTAATCAAGTCCACAAAACCTCTCCTCCACTTCCTGCAGTAGCCTAAAACGTTAGTATATATGAACAATTCTCACGAGTAACCATTACCTTGTGATTATGTGTTCCTAACACTCCCAAATACTAATTTTGGCATTGCAAAATCCACAGTTAATATTGGCTATGAATTCCACTGTATATAATCATTTTTACAGTGTACAGTGCACAGAGCCCTAACGCTATCAACAGTTGATGTGAATAAAACACTTGGTGTTGGTATCAATGAGCACAATAATTGCAGCCAAGTACTTTCATCAGCTTTCTAATATCACCACAGAAGATGTAACAGAGAAGTAGAGAAAAAGCCCCCAAATAGGGAGCTTGTTACTGACACAGTGGATTCCTGACTTTCAATACACAGTACAAATATTCATAGATAAAGGATGACTCTAGAAAGTTCAAGGTTAAAGAACCAATTCCTTCTTCTTCTTCTTCAAGTATCTGTTTCAAAGTTGCAGTTAGGTAGGATGCTTCGGAACACCAGTACCCAAAAGATCCTGTCTCTATTACGTATCTTTGTAATGTTTTTCCATTCGATCATGATAACACACAATTGTTTTAATTTTATGTAAAAATACTGCTTTCTAATGTCACAGAACAGTAAAAAAATATTTTAAGAAAATACAGCATACACAAAATAAACATAATTATGTATTATGACTATGTTTATAGCTTCCATGCAGATCTCAAATGCAAATCAACTTGCTGCATACGTTGAATCTTAATTTTTGAACATAAAATTGTTGCAAAATATGTAACTTTCATTTAACTTATACTCTCATACCTTCAAGTATGAAAATTTTATGTTACAATTTAAGCACACTTCAAACTACATTTGCCATTTCTGTACCTTACTGCAAGTCATGTTAACCCTATTCAATTTTTCATGAATAAATCTGAATGTGTACGTACTGGTAAGAAGAGAAAAAATAAACATGCAAGAACACAATAGCAAAGTGAAATACACACTCAACAGGTTAATTACATTACATGCTACAAAACTGGGAACCCTACTTTTCATAATGAGGTGAGATAAATTCAAGTACTCACATATTTAGCAGAAATTTACACTGCCGTTAAAACTTATCCACTACAAATCAATTTTCATCCCCTCACCTCACTAAGCACTGCAGTGTAGCAGTGTGTACTTTGTATATGGAAATTCTCAAGTTTGAATCTCGGCCTGGACAGGCCACCCATAATCACCAAGGTTTAATTTTTGTCTCCCAATCTTTCAAGAAAAATGCTGATCTATAAATAAGCCATAACACCTGCACTAATTCATAATAATGTTATCATTTTGTGCTATGCAACTTAAGTACTTCATAAAGAATTGTCAATGAACCAATAAATAAAACAACAAAACTAACTACTCAGCTTGCACACACAATTTAGAATTCAGTTAATCTGATACTAGGAATGAACAAGAACTGTAATACCAGTAAATATGTTATAGGTGAGAGGTAAGATGGCTTCTCTTAATTATACATCTTTTTACAAAACAGCTTGAATTTAGAACATTTATATAAAACCGAGGTTCCTTTGATTTATAAGTACAAAGAGAAAACAACAATGTTAGGCCTCTCAAAACAAACTATGGAAAGGATTAAATTGAAAGGTTAAAATAAACTGAACATACAGATGGCATGAACTAACAATAATGTACTGACGAATTGAGAGATGTTTCATTGGAATAAACAAAAATAAACAGAAAATGATGGGCACTTAAAAAATTAAATTTAGATGGCATAAATAATAATAATTTGAAAACAAACTGCACTTATCCCAGATGATTAAATGCATAAGTATTGTTCAAAATTGAACCAATATAAAAATTATTGTGAAGTAAATAGTGCTCCAGTCAAGTACTCTTACAAAGCCTGGCTTATTCAATCACATCATCAACCACATTCTTAACTGCAATATGACCGGTCTGGCAATAATCAAGGTACAAATGGCACCCACTGATAGTAGATGAAGAACACAGAGGATTTGGAAAGAAAGCTCAATAGTACAAGAATGAATGTTAGAAAATTATATGTCAGAAGATAAAGTAAATTGAAGCCGTTTCAGTGTCTGTTTGTCTGTCAATATACTACTCCCAAAACTCGTGACCTGTGCGTAATACTGTAGCCCCCAAGGAACAATGCGCCACACACTTATTCTTCGCCACATCCAGCACCATGCAATACGGTACATGCAGGCTTACCACCTTCATCCTCTGAGTCAGACATAAATGTCTCTTGCATGGATTCTGGTGCCACCACTTTATACTTTTCCTCGATCGTAGTCGTTGTCGTTGTCGTGATGGTCGTCTCAGTCACCACTTTAAGTGTCTCCACCACACTAATATAGCCAAGCTTCTGGGCAATAGACAGTGCAGTTTGTCCTTGCTGTAACAATATTGTAAGATATTAGACTAGTACTGATAGCAACATATAACAGTCTACACTATTTCACCCTCCATGTTTATCAAACAGAATAATTTTACACAATAAACTGTGCAGTATTCAGCCTTACAAATTTATTACCCAAACATAACTTTTAAGCATTTCTACTACTAGAATATTTACTATTTATTTTTTTTTAATATACTTAACGGCACACTTTCAATAGCTTGTATCATATGGTATTCAGTGTTTGGATGAATGGTGAACAATGAATTAGAAAGGATGTAAAAGGAAGCACTCATGACCTTGGATACTATCCCAGAATTTGCATGGAGGAACTGAGACAACCTTTATAAAGCCTGTCAGTATAGTTGATCTCTGGGTCAATTCAAATCTGTGGCCTTCTAAATACAAAGGAGTGTAAACCACTCAACTGAGAGCTTTCCTATTGCTATTTAAGTGTGAAAGAGTTGGGGTAGCTCTGTCAGTATAGTGACTAACCACAGACTGGATAACCAGGGTTTGATCCCCAATAGGGGCAGGGAATTTTTCCTCTAGCCTGTGCATCCAGACTGGGTCTGGGGCCCACCCAGCCTCCTCTCCAATGTGAACCAGGGTCCTTTCTCAGGGGTAAAGCATGGCCACCACTGTCTCAATCACCTCACTACAAGGAACAGGGTAAAGTAAACTCACATTGGTAACAGCATTTGGTTTTGCCTTGTTTTCAAGCAATAGGCTGATGACAAGTGTGTGTCCCTGTTGGGCTGCTTGGTGCAGTGGTGTGTAGCCAACTGATGTGCTGTTGTCCACATTGGCACCATGTTGAAGCAGGAAGCGCACCATGTTCAGTTGCCCAAAATGACATGCAACGTGCAGAGGTGTATACCCAGCCTGTTGTCAATATAATTCATACAGGAAGACATGAAAAATGACTAGAAAATACGGCCAATCTGCATTTTAGGTCGGAATTTAATATTTAGATAGCTGCACGTCCCAGTACCCTGCAATAAACCTGATGGGTCATCATTTAGGTTTTTGATGTTGCAAAACTATCCTGTAACTGAACTTGTGCCACTTTTCTATTGCAATGAGATACCTCTTAAAATGTAATATCAATGAACAAGTGATAATGTATTCAAATGCACAGTGAACATAAAGCAATTGATCAGCTGTATATCTTACTGATTAACAAAATAATTTGCTGATTAAACAGCAATTTAACAAGGCAGTTAACCAACCATATATTAATAAAGCTCAGACTCAAGACTAACCTAACCTAACCTAACCTAACCTAACCTTGCTAACATATACAACCCAGTCAACTCTTAAAGAACCTACTTCCCAAGAACTGCCTAACCTTCTTCCAGACTTTCAAGTGGTCACTTCTAAGAGGTTATCTGACCAAAATTCTATTACATATTCTTTTGTTTCCTATTTGCACTAAACATCCAGCCAATTGTAACCTCTTTGACTACTCTCACAATACTGTAAACCACAACAGAACATATTGAAAATTTAAATTCAATGAATAGTCTTGTCCGTCATACATCATAACTGTTTACAGACTAATGCACTGACTGAGAAGTAACAACCCTACAGACATTCAAAGCTTGTATGGGTGAATTTCACATGCATGCATACATAGATATACTAGTTTTTATAACTTATCAATAACTTATTTCTCTTTGATTTTGACTTCTACAAAATTTGCTGTGTCTTATCCAAGTGCACACAGAATATAGATAAATTTGGTACAGTACCTGGAAATAAACAGCCTAACCCTTTTACTGGCAGATATTATGTAACAGAGTGGGCAGGAATTATCACACTTTTACAAAAGTTGAACAACACTTACAAAAAAGAAGTCTGTACCCAAGATAAAGACATAGGACATTCTGAAAATCTAACATATTTCCCACAGTTGTGTCACCTCTTAATATGTAAAGTATACATAATAAAAAACACCACCCTCTAAAAATCAAAGATATTGAAATCTGGCAAGCCTGCCTCCTCATTAAGTGGGTAACGGGCTAAAAACAGTTACCAAGAAGGGTGCTTATAATAATAATTTGGCTATATGTAGAAGTGAGCTGGTGGTACCTTTGTGCTTGAATCCACTTCAGCCCCATTCTTGACTAATAATGCTGCAACATTGACATTGTCTTCCTGTGCACACAAATGTAATGGAGTGAGGCCATTCTGTAAATAAAATATTTGCAACATTACATAATGGTACTTCCACTGACATTTGCATTTAAGCATCAGCATACTAATTAGTTCACTTAACACTGCAATGTTATCTGGGCAGTAGGTCAGCACTCTGTTTCAAGAACCACCTAACTCAAAAGTACAGTGACATATGTAAAGAAAAGAAGTACATGCAAACCAAAAGTTATTTAAACAAATACATTTCTGTAGTTCCTGTACTGACATAACATTTATAAAGAACAATTTGTGTCCATTACTAGGACAAAAAAACACAAATTATATTTTTGGCTCACTTCTAAAATTAAATCAAGTTTGTAAATTTCTCTTGTAACTGAAATTTGAAACAAAAAATTACCTCCGACTTTGTCATACACTACAAAATGAGAAATTCACAATGGCTGTGCTTCCGTAAACAGGTGACGATAAGGGTCATCACCACATTCGTACACTGAAGTACACAAACCAAGGAATACTTAAAGTGAATCTGTACTTCTAAAAAGGAATATATGTTAATATAACAGTTACACATAAAAATAATTAAAAATACAGTAATAATAGTGGCAAGGAGACAGAAACACCAAGTGAATGCATTAATAAAAATAGAGTTACACAGCTCTTTCATGGGAAGTGCCCCTTGTTCCAGTTACAGTTGCATTGATAATGAACACTAATGCAGAACTAAAAAGTCCAAACATTGTTTAACAAACTCCATTAAGGACTGTAATGAAAATTAACAACTGACAAGAAACAACGCTCAAATTATGGAGTCATAATACAAAGGAGAATCAGTATGAAAGGTTTCACCCTTCAATGGCAAAATGAGAAAGAATGGAAGGAAAAAGCTCTATACCCTAGAGAAATGAATATCATTTTTTTAACATGGTTATGAAAGATCCAGTAACAAGCAAGATAAAACAGACAAAGAAACACTAACGGTGGCCTTACTGCCCCAATAAAAATAAGGAAAAACAGTTGATATGTCACAAATACAAATACTAGTTGTCTTCATATTATTCCTTTTCATCTTACCAATAAAACATTTTTACGACCATTCTGCACCTTGACGGCTGGATGATTTGGTAAATCATTATAAGCTGAGCGGATAAAGATGTGAGTCAGTAGGCAAGTGGCTAAAATTGTTGGTGGGCGGCATTTAGAACAACTACTGAGCACTCTTCAGGAACTGCAAACACACTATCTTCTGCTGACAAAGCTTAAAGGTTTCACTGCCCACCTATTTTCATCTGTCTCACCTTTGCCTTGTGATTGGGATCTGCCTGGTGCTCAATAAGAAGTGAGGCCATGTCTGTGTGTCCCTCCTGAGAGGACAAATGTAAAGGGGTGAAGCCAGCTTTCGATTCTGCATTTGCCTTAGCTCCATATTCCAGCAGTGTTGTGGCAATGTCCATCTGGAATCACAACATTTATTCAGACCACACACACACACAACACACAGTGGGCCGATCACAGCTATAGCTCAGGTGGTTAGTTACCGGCTTCTCAAAATAAAGACTCAGCTTCAACCTGAGGCCAGACTTTTCTCCAAATACTGATTCTACTGGCATCACTCCAACAAAAATAATTCACACTAATATATCACTGCCCATGAGGAATGTGACACTAGCACATCACAACCCTAGTCCTTAGGGCTTAGGCTGGCACTTTGGACTCAGAATACTGAATATTTTAACTGTCAAAACTTCAACTCTAAGGCCTCCCTATCACACTATGTCGAAACTACAAGAAGTCAGATGCCAGTCCATCTGTAAAGATGAATTCAAGCAAAATAATTTAAATGAAATCTGGTGATATGTTTTCAAAAGGCAGTTCTCTTGTGTGTCAACAAATTATACAATACATAATGGACATGTTCATATCCCTGTACAGTGGCTATTAGAACACACTGTTCATCTGTCCACCTCCATAACAGCCGAGCAGATTTCTATGTCATTTAATATTGGGGGAGGGGGGAAGTGTCAAGCAGTATCAGTTTTCATGTAGATCAGACAAATTATGACCATCTTATGTTAGAACATTTTCATGTTGTAATGTTATTAACCAAATCATTTTTCTAATAGTGAGGTGTGGTGCTTTCTGCAAGGTAGGCTGGTTGCAATGAAATCTAGAAGTAAAAAGGCGAACATCAAAACTGTTACATTACACGCATTTGCAATCTTTTCATTCCATCAAATATTTCATAAATCACTGCACACAGTGATTTCATAAAACCAGTGTGTCAGATAATTTTAAAATGTAAAATTTAAACAATATGAATTAAGACAGTATAGCAGCATGAGCTATAAATAAATGTTTAAAATTGTTTCTTTTGGAAGAGAAGAAAATATCCTGATTCACAGTTCTGTTTATAATTTACAATACTCTAAAATGTGAATAATCAACAAAAAAGTTATTGGAAAATTTGTGCGGTCTTCTGCAAAAATGCTGTGCAGGTACAGCAAGACTCTGTATACTGGTGCATTAACACACACAAGACTCTATATAACACTATCTCATATTGCAAAGTGTACCTGATTCTTTCTAGCTGCTATGTGCAGTGGTGTGTGGCCATTCTTGGCAGTTGCATGTGGTGATGCACCCTTATTCAGCAGCAGCAGTGCAACATTCTGGTGATCATAGTGACTTGCAACATGCAGTGGTGTTACCCCATTCTGAAACAGTTATAAATTTGCTTCCAAGAGGTACGCCAAGGTAGCTAAGTCAGTACACTGTCTGACTAGACTGAATGATCAGGGTTCAATCCTCAGCAGTAGTGTCTGCAGCCAGTTTACCTATGGGGCCCACCCAGCCTCCTATCCAGTGGGTAATGGGGGTCTTTTCACCAGGGGTAAAGCATGGCCAAGGCATGTTGCTGACCACTCACACCCATCTAGTGCTGAGGCCAAAAGGACCCCCATGATGTGCAGTAAGATAGCTTTGCTTGTCATTTAAATATATGGATTATCAGAACAGAGTATGTTTCCTCTTCATACTCACCGCTGTGAAAACCTCAAATCTTACATCCTATTGCATTGTTTGTAGTTGTGTTATCAATGTCAAATTAAAGTTGTATGACCAGTTAGAAATTAGTTTACTCCACTGTTACATGTGCATGGTGCTCATACTGTGTGTACAGTGGAAAAGTGTTATTTTGGATGGAAGTACACAGCATGCACAGAGCACGTTATACTAACCTCTCAGCCGCCTTTCACAAGACACCAAAATAAATTATGTAAACAGCACATTCTGAAATACAGATTTTCTTTTCTTAGAGAGGCAGAGCAGGTGAGTCAATGGTACATTTATGGACCACCAGATATAAAAAGCTTTGGAAGAAAAACTGTAAGTACAGTCTATACATACAGTTACAGAACAGAAGCTATGAATCAATCATTGTAAAAAAGGAGCTGGAAAGTCGCTCTCATTTAATATAACATTTTCCAAGTATTTAGCATTAAGAAACTTATGTTCATTAAAATAAAATCATCATCACAAGCTGCACTTGAAAACAAAGGGTTAGAAAAATACATAACACAGCAACTACTTAAAAATTTTGGAACATGCAATGCCCCAAGCCAGCTGAAATCTTCTTCAACTGAATGATGATAATGCAGCACAAATTCCAAAAGAGAGAACACAAACCTCTCCAAATAATTTACACGATAATACCAACTAAATACCTTGCCCTGTGCATCCACTGGAGCATCCTTCTGCAGCAGTAGTTTGGCTACATTTAAGTTTCCATACTTGGCAGCTAGGTGAAGCGGTGTAAAACCTTTCTTTGTAGTCGCAGTCAACGATGCACCATGCTCCAACAGCACTGATGCCACCTGGACAAATGCATGAAGAAGAAACACTCATATTGAGTTATTCACTTCAGAAATCAAGAGCAAGGATATATTAAAAAGAAAATGTATGGATTCATTCCCCCATAAAATATCTATGACACAGAGAAACTGTGTTTCCACTACCTGAATATATTAACTTTGTAGCCGGTGAGGGTAAGAGTCGAGGGCTGCCAATACCTCAGCTTTCACTATGAGAAAGAGATGTGAAATTCTTACCAGCAGTAGGTACAACCACTGACAAAACATGTCCATATTATTGCAAATAAACTTTCTATACTTTTACAAAGCAATGCACTCTTCAGTATACTTTGAGAAGAATTACTGCAGACTGCCCCACTTGCCTGACCCCAATTATGTAATAATCTTTCCATAAGATGTTTACAATGACGGAATTGAGAGGTAAGTACAGTGTAACCCTAATGAGCTCCACAGATGCTGTACTTCAAAATGTATACACAAGAACTCACCTCCTCCTGCCCTTCCTTAGCTGCAATGTGAAGGGGTGTATACAGATCCTTGGTGGTTGCATCCACCGCTGCTCCATGCTGTAGCAGCAACATCACAATGTCTACATTGCCAAGTCGTGAAGCTACATGCAGAGGGGTTTGTTCCTCCTTCAGAAAAGAAAGACCAATTAATGTAAAGAAAAAGCAGACACATGACTCTCAGGAGTCTGTTCTACAAAAAATAAGAAGCATATTTTAATATCAATGAAAGACTCTCGGGTTACAAGTCACACCAGGTGGCTGAATGGTGAATAAACCATATCTTCTGCCAACGTTTCGAGAACAATCTCTGCTCTCATCCTCAGTTCACATCGGCAAAAGTGATAAAACTTCACATTCTAAAACAGAGTGGGGTCAGTGGGTGACTGAATCTTTGAAGTGTCTTCTAGTTTCTCCAGTAATAATAATAAATACACATATTCAAGTTAAATAGGAACAGATTAATGATCAGATTACATGATATAACAGAACAGTGTAACACCATGTGAGATTTGTTCTACTGAATGTGAAAGAATATTCAAAATTATACTAACCCTGGCCTTAGCATCCACCTGTGCCCCATTGCGCAGAAGGATGCGGATGATATCTGTCTGGTTTGCTCTAGCTGCCAGATGAAGGGGTGTCTCTCCACGAACAGTAGGGACATCTGGATTGGCATTGTGCTGCAGCAGGTAGATGACAATGTTCATGCAGCCCATGAAACTGGCCACATGCAGTGGTGTAAGGCCCGACTGGAAAAGACTCATTCTGTACTACCAACCTTGATTACCAATAAAACTCAAACACTTCCTCAATTCATTCAACAACTTGCTGAAATTTATCATCTTGTGCTATATGAAGCAAATTCAGAATCCTATGTGTGTGCAATTTTCTGTGTATTATGTGTGCATTCAGGCAGTCAGAAATCTGGAGAATGGGAAACTATAATTATGACTGTGGTTTGTAAACTGGCAGAAATTTAATAAAGGAAATATTCAATTGTAATAGTGAGTGGAATAAATCTGTCTTCCAATTTAAAGAACCCACAACATCTTAATCACTGATTTTTTTTTTCCATGGCGTAATAGTCCTCTGAGAGCCAAAGCCGACTAGCTGGCTGCTGGCCTCACGTTCACATGCCTAAGCAGAGGTAAACGATCATCCAACCAGATATGGGTGACGTGTGGTCAGCACGACGAACCCCCAGCCATTGCTAGTTTTCATGACTGGATTACGCTACCTGTTGTAGCTCCCCAATTTCCTCACGATGCTGGGTTGGCAACGGTCCCATACACCGGTCGAAAATCTCATGAGAAATTTCTTTCCCCGAGACTTGAACCAGCGCGCGTTCCGTATCACCAGTCCGAAGCATGATGCCTCAGACCACGCGGCTATGGCGCGGGACTAATCACTGATATACACGACATTTAAAACTACACACACAACTGCTTCATTAAAACTGTTGTACTCACTTCAGTGGTAGCTTCAATGGATGCCCCATACTTGAGCAACAGTTCAACCACCTTGAGTCGATTTTTCTTGCATGCAATGTGAAGTGGTGTGAAGCCATTAAGCGCTCTTGAATTGGGATCTGCTTTGCGATCTAGCAGCAATTTGGCTACACGGACATGACCACAATGTGCTGCCACATGCAGGGCTGTCAGGTAATCGATTGTTACATCATCCACAGGGGCTCGGTGGTATAACAGAATGCGAGCTGCATCCACATGGTCACCCTGCGCTGCCATGTGGAGTGGGGCCAGTCCATTCTGTACAAACACCATACTCTTGTCAACTCACACCAGTATTTCGTAACACTAATTATAAATTCTGTATTAATATATATTTTTCAGTTATTACTTTACACAGAATTAATGTAAGAATTGAATGGCGAAAAGTTTTCTGTAAATTTATGATGGTTTAAAAAGTACATTCAATATACCAGAACTTCAAGTCTGCTATTCACGTAAGTTCATATGTATGGAGATTTAAGGTTTTCCTGGCAGCAAAAATGTAGATTGTGGTCTTCTGGGTTGTAATGCCATATAACTTTGCAGGTGGTTACCAGTATTTCAGAGGAACATATCACCTCTATCTTCGCAGTAGAAGATGGTGATTGATGTATGCATTATGCTCTTCTGAAATGTTGGCAACAACCTACAAGAAAACAGTGCCATAACCAAGAAAAACAAAATGCAAAGATGTCTTTAGTTATCCTTAGGTCCTTCCTGCCTTAATGAAATATAATGGAGAATAAATTACACCTCTTGTATACATCCACATACAACTGTAAAATAACTTCCAAAAAAATCCTAATCTGGCCTACATGTGTAGCAAGTTCAAGAACTTGCCTCCAGATCGTAACTACCATCTCCTGGCACTTGAACATACAGACTGAATTCTACATATTTAACAGAGCAACATATAGTATTTTCTCTGGACAGATTTATTCCTACTCCTGCAGGTATGCAGAAACTGATTAAGAAAGTGACAAACAAAACTACTTGCCTTAGTTTTGGATCGTATGGGGGCCTTGCTTTCCAGCAGCAAGTCCACAACCTGATCGTGCCCCGACCGTGCCGCACAGTGCAGCGGTGTCAGTCCATCTCGCGTCTTGGCTTCTATATCAGCTCCTTTATTGATAAGCAAAGACACCATGTTGATCTTTCCCCACTTGCAGGCCACATGAAGGGGAGTGATATTGTGCTGCAACCAAGGTAAACAACTAATTATCAGGTAATACAACCACATATTCAACACTGAACATTACTAATATCAAAAGCTGGCTTTAAAGTTTACACCCTCACAAATCATTTCCCAAACATCAATTTTAACATTATCCTACCATCTCCTTTCCAGAATTTCATGTGACCGCTTTCTAACATATTTACCAACAAAACTTTTGCATGTTTCCCTCTGTCTATTTTATACAGACCATCACACAACCTACTGTGTGCCTTAAGAACATTTAAATAATCAAATAAATCACACAGGACATCTTTCAAATCAAACTTCTGTCGTGGTAATGTTTGTCAAAATCTATCAATGGTTATGACAGCACAAAAGTTCACTAGTGATGTGTATGAACTTTCACAACGCTTACTAACCTTGGCAGAGAAGTTGATGTCTGCTCCTCGCTGATGAAGCAAATTGGCAATGCCTTCATTTCCATAGTGTGCAGCTATGTGAAGTGGGGTAAATCCACTCTTTGAAGTTACATCTGGGTTGTGGTCATTCTGAATAGAGAGACAGATATGTAATCATAATCAGAAATGAAGTGGACTAATAAATTTGTCCTTATCTATCTCATGATCTCCAAAATAAATCACTTAGCAAGAAAATAAAAATAAACCAATAGAGAGAGACAAACAAGTAGGTAGATGTTAAAACAAAATGCATAAAAGTGAATACATACGTAAGTAAAGATAAGTAGAAATACATATCTATATAACTGGAAATACATTATATAAAACATGGCAATAAAAGAAAGACATCAGTAACTAAATTTTTCCATTACACAACAATTTTACATTACTTTGACAAAATAAACTCCGAGCACAAAAAGGGTGATACACATTCCTAAATCACATATATCACACAAATTCTCTGAGAACAGAAGCCAAATGCCACACTTACTTGCAAGAGCAAAGCAGCAGCCTTGCAGTCATCCTTCTTGGCAGCAATGTGCAAGGCAGGGAGACGAACTTTACCCCTGGTGTCATTCTCCAGAAGCAGAGCAACTATCTTGTCATGTCCCTGCTGCATTGCCACAGCTAAAGGGGTAAACCCATCCTGAAAAAACCCACCACCCAGTACATTTGAACTAGCATCACCTGTTTTACATTCTGCACATAAATGGTAATAGCTTTTTAACTCTTTAAAGCTGAAGCTCATGTAAATAGTGTAATATTATTTAAGAATTCAGTCTGTACCACAAAGAAAACACAGCAATTCACCATCACAAAAATCAATTAGTTTGCGGTGTGTAAGGAAATAACCACTGTTTACAGTGAGAATCATACAAAATCCACAAATAAAAAATGCAGAATTAATTATTGTTACAGAAGTTGATACACATAGTTACCACTTGGTTTTAAAGGGTTAAAGCCCAACATTTAACTCTTGATGTGACTGAGTCTTTGTGCACACTGTTATTATTGAAGTATGAAGACAGAAAATCTGAATTTTACATCTGTACATAAAGCAGTTACACTGAATAATTACAGACTTATAGTACATGGGGATGTTTTCCCCAAGTTGGGAGTAGAAGGGTGATAGTGATGGTGGTGATAGTGATGATGATGATGGTGGTAAAACTGATCCTAGAGAAATAGGTTGTAAGGTTACACAGTAATTTGAAATAATTCAGAATACAGTCATATTACAGACTTTAACAATGGTAGTCAGATGGTAAGGAGTCAAGAGTCTATCGCTGATTTTGTGATGGTGACAAACCTGCACCTACTCAGGGATAATATGATAACATTAAAATGGATCTTAAAAGGAACAAGGTTAGAAGATATGAACTGTTCTAAACTGGCTCAGGACAAGGACCCCAGGTAGACACTTGTGATGACAGTTATGTCCTGCAAATGTCTAATTACAATAAGGAAAGATTTTTACCAGTGTTGCTAATATATATTGAATTGAAACCATCTTCCAATTCTCATACCTCAGTTGACAGACTCTGATTGGCTCCCTTACTGAGCAGGAATTTGACCACATCATCATGATTCTCCTGAGCTGCCATGTAGAGAGGGGTAAAGCCATTCTGTGATTGCATGTTGACAGAAGAACCTTGCTTTACTAGCAGTTTCACAACATCTGTCTGCCCAGCTAAATAACAGAAACTACATATTAAAATCTGAGAGACACGTTTCAATTCCACTGGTCTACATAGCATGGTGGAAATATGAACATTTAGTGATAAAGCAAAAAGCATATCATGGACAGAATAAAACACAAGGCCAAAAATGGGATGGCATGACGTGAGAACAAACTTCAGCTTATAAAATAAAGTTTGTACCACCAGGTTCTAAATCTGCTGCACTGATATGCCAAAATATCTAAGAAAAATTATTTTAAAAGTGGTTCACTCATACTAGGATATTAAAAATTATTAGAGAGAGAAATGCAACTTTTAAGGATGTTTGAATAGATGAATGAAAGAACACAAAGCACTTTCTAATGGAAGTGTTAAAACATTATTATGGGTAAAGCATTAAGTTCCATTATTTTTCAGAATTTCATCAGTCTTTATGTGTGTGTATGTTCAGTACTATAAAACTGCAAAAGAAACAATTACTCATTCTGGCTAGAACCATGAAAGATGAATAATATTTATAACTTCTGAAAAGTATGACATCCTTTCTTTCCTAAGGAAAAAAATTATTTTTTTTAAAAAATTATTTTACATAATCTCACAAAAGCAGTGATATAAAATGATCAAATATACTGTAAATAATAATAATAATTTTACACATATATATTTTTAATGTTGCATATTTGTAGTGTTGCTTGAAAAATGAACTTCGAGTTGTTTATTTTAAATATCTGAATAATTGTATACATAGGTATTCTGTGTAGACAAAATCAAATCATATAGCAGTGGGTATAAACATTTTTATTCCTTTAAAACATAAAAAAGTCTCACATAAATTGTGTAATTACTGTGAAAATGTAACAAAATAACCTTACGCCATTTCCAAGGAAGATTTACTTCAAGGTCTCAAAAACACGAAACATACATATTTCATGAAAATCAGCATAAGAGCTGTGGTAGTCTGATTCCAGAAGACTCTGCTTTCCACTTTAAATCTCGTACATCAAAAAAATTAATTTCTACAAATGTCTTGTACACACTGCAATAATTTGGTTTTTGACAGCGATTGAAAGGTTGGAGAAAGAGATAAACTATCAGCTACAAGGTACAAGGCAGGTTGGTACACAGTGAAGAGGTAGCTAAGTAAAGGGAGAGGCATGGTTTGGTGGAAAGATTCCCGTGGTGGGAGGAATACAACGAGCAGACATACTGACCAACATGGAGAAAAAGATAGAACAACAGATGGAAGGAAGGACAGGTGGATGGAAAGAAAAGGGATGGATGTATAACCTTGAGAATCACTGTGATAACTTGAGGTTACTTCAGGTTACAGTGAGGTAAAGTCAAGTAACAGGTGTAAATCAAGGCAGAAAGCAAACTGCTGAGATATTCTAAGTAACATAAAAAGAAGAGCTAATTTTAAGCAACCTGAAGAATGGTAAGTTGAGCAAGTTAAGTTGGTGAATTAGGTTATGTTTGTTACATTAGGTCAGATTTAGTTGTGTTAGGTCAGACATATATATGCAGATCAGTAACCTGGTTAAAAAAAATAGCAGCCTGGGCTTACCAAGAGAAGCGATATGCAATGCAGTGTTGCCCTTCTTTGTTGCTGCATCGACAGTTGCCCCACGCTTGAGAAGATCTGCTACTATTTCCAGGTGACCATCCTTAGCTGCCAGATGAAGAGCATTGAGGCCATTCTGAACACAAATAACAGTAAAATTTGAGGTTTTCACAGCGGCGAGTATGAAGACTTCTGTCTTCTGGGTTGTTGCGCTGTGTAGTCTGGTCGATGTTAACCAACGTTTCAGAGGTGATACTGCCTCCGTCATCAGGTCGATGAATTGCAACACAGCGCAAAAACCCAGAAGACAGAAATCTTCATAAATAACAGTAGTTAGCAGACACATAGCATATCTCATGTCTCATATTCAAATACTTCAAAACAGATAAAACCAATAAACACAAATTTGAAAAAGGGGGTTAGAAGAGGCATGTGTGAAACATTTAGTAGCAATAATCACAACCAATATGACAGATAATACAAATATTATAAGGGCTGTATGAAAGTTGTAAGGAAACAAGGTAACAACAATGTAAACGGAAATAAAATGCAGGAAATAGATGATCATCAATATTTATCTAATATCACAAATCAAAGCATCTGCGTCATTCAAACACTGTAACCGAGAATTCCATCCCTACTCAAGGCATGATATTTCTATATGATACTGTGTTGTCATGAGAAGAAATAGATTGACTCTGAGCCCAAAGATGGCAAGCTTCTCCCTAAATGTGACTGAATATAATTTAAGCATGTTCCAGACCCCAAAAACCAATTTCTGTGTCAGGACGTAAGGCACGTTAGTCTTCTGAGACCTTCTAGGGCAGAAACAAGTAGCAGCACATAACAAATTACATGCTGGATGACTAAGTGTCAACATCTGCATTCATGAAGGCCCAAAATGTGCAGTTATCTGATGTCTCCATGCAACATACAGCAGACAAACACTGCATTTAAAATAAGCAACAAGCTTATGTATTGTTTTACAAAGGGACTACTGCTGGTCTAACATTTTTAAGAACTTAAGCTCATGACATTAACAGATCGGCTTCTCGATCCGGCCGTCTTCCCCCCCACGGGAAGGTATCCAGGCACCCATTGGACAGAAGCCTGAGTGAAACCCAGAGGGTGAATATAGAAACAACAGTTCACTTGCCAGCCCATCTCTTTACTGACTCAATGGCATATCATAAACGTTTTCTTTCAAAGAGAGGAATAAGGCAGTCATAAAATTGCAGCAAAATAATTGGATACACCCAGCAAAAGCAGATCTTTGTTTCTAGAAACATCATGTCATAAATCTGTAGTTTGTACAAGCCTTCGCGCCACGCCCAGAAGCCCACTGATCCGTTTCGGAACGACCCATTTTTCTGTAATGCAAGAAACCCTACTTAAAGGGGGCAGCTCCAAATGAAATGCGAACTACTGGACCCAGCCGTTCGTTCAAAAACCGTCCTGCTGTTGTGGCAACGGAAAACATGAAAGTATAAGCTCACAAGCACTACGAGGGGTTGAGATTATGCTTCTCTGGTAGATCAGAGAGGGTACAGTGGCCAACTTTTGTAAATATAGTAATTAATATTCAGCCATCAGTTTAATAAAACATTTGAGTTCGAGGTATACTTGTCACGCAACCGGATACAGGATCTGCATGCTGACATTTGAAAAATGTCAGCATGCCGATATCTTCCACTCACGGCGTTTGCTGTATTGATATCCACCCCGGAGTCCAGGTACTCGATCACCTTCTCCTGATGACCCGCGCGCGCTGCTCGGAGGAACGCTGTGTTCGGGTCCGTCTGCAAAGACAAAAACAGGTAATTTACATAAGGTCACATGAGACACAACAGGAAGGGCTTACCGGTTGTTCTTCGGTAGAAGAGCTTTGAACGTGGCAGTGTGGACCCACGCAAAATTCCGATGACAGAAAATCTGGTGCTAAATGTCACACGAACACCATCAAACGATTTCGATGCGAAGTAATGTTCTAAATTAACACACATTCTGTTTGCACAACTTTGGCGCAACTGGAGTGCGCAGCGGCCTAGCAGTAAGAGTAATCTTAACTCGAGTGTCACGGCGGAGGTTGGGAGAGTAGACCTGCTTCTGACTTCGATTTTGTGCCATAGATGTGATTGTTCTTGGAATAAGTTTTAAATAGAACTACCTGTATTTACGAACATAATCTATCGTTTCTCCGTGCATAAAACAAACAAACCTTCTGACCGAATCTCCCCCTTTGCATATAAAATACGATTAGGGGCACTGTCCCACGCTAGGTTTGGGTTAACACCAAAAATTGACGCAAAAATGTGAGTCTTTAAAATCAGACTGTACTGAGAACTAATATAAGATTTTTAGCAGGCTGTAACAGAGAGGGTGGCTTCAGGAAGACGTATGAATGGCCCAGAAGGTATTATTATACTGAATAAAACACTTTTAAAGAGTTCTATTTCAGTCACCGAGATCAAAAGGAAGGATGGTTAGGAGGGGGGTGTTTTAATGGCTGTCTGCAACATCCCTTTATGTCAGCTGCATCCAAATGGAGTGAACTGCATTTTCACTAGCACATTGCAAAGTTGCTTTTGCGACGACGAAGTTATTTCATGAGTTTTTCGACTTCAATGCTTGCATGGAACATACAACACCAGTCGTCTTGGCCGTTTTTTAAGGTTTGCATTGCCATTTACTGTTGTGGCATTTCGCCAGTGTCATTCTGTACCCCCCCCCTCCCCATATATATCATATCAACTTAACGTCCAGGGCTGTGGAGTTGGTACTAAATTCTTCGACGCCGACTCCTTCATTAAAGCTCAATATCTATTAATAATGGTAAACCTACTATAATGGTAAATGGCACCATAAGAGATTTCATTACCACCACGTGAATCATCGGACCACTTTTTAGATTTATAACCTATATTTAAATATACGTATAATGTTAAAACTTTGCATACCGTGTAGTGTATTAGAATATAAAATAAGCAACAAACAAACTATTAACTCTATAAAAAAGACACTAATGCCATACGCGTTTCAATCTCAAGAGGTCATCATCAGTGGCAACAGGGAAATTAATTCATTTAATCAAAATGGTTTAAAAAATGGTTTAGAAAACGAATGACGAAGTAGTGTATTTTACAAAGAATATCAAGCAACACTACACTAGATGCTGGTATTCACAGGAGTTGAACTCTGCACTTAGCTACTGTGAATACCAACATCTAGTGCAGTGTTGACAGAAGGGTTAATAAACTGCAATGTTGTTAGTTTATGGCCCGGTCTGAACACATTCCCGATAAGGCCAAATTGCATATCGTTCTGTTGTAACATCATATTACAACTGCAGCATCACTTTTGGAGGCGCCAAGTGACCCATCTTTAACGGAGCCGTCTGCAGAGATCTCCTCAAACATGAACTGAACCCACTTCCCTGTATATCAGCGCACAGCCTCAAACACTACGTCGCTAGGAGAGAAAGACGCGGGGTAACCAAAACACTAGGGAACTTCTTCGTGGTTTTGGAGCGCCTCCGACTACTTCCAATAATCGATATGGCTTTCGACCCTGGCCTTCCACGCGATATTGCGTAACAATCCAATTGCTTTTAAAAGTCGCAGATAGCGCAAGGCCACATACCAGAGAAACTCAAAACGGGGGAACTGCCAGAAAGTAAAAGAATCGTGTAAAACGTTTCTGAACTACGTATCTTTTCATCCTTCCGCGTTTGTTTCTCTCTATGCTCTTAAAAGAATTAACCTCCTCCGAGCTAAAATCTCATTAATTAATACAAATGCCTCTATAAATCTGTGAAGTGCAAATTCTTTTCAATCTTGCGTAGTTATGACATGAGACCTTACGTCGACATTTTGTTCAATCCCATAATAACCAACGCAGAATTCGAAATGGTTTTTGCAACTGCCATTGGAACTCACAAAACTTTCGGTCTGATGAACTTCTAAGCCCTTGTCTGGAGAGACTGATAAAAAAAACCCTTGACACTCCTCGTAGCAGACGGGTGCAAGACACAGGAAATGTGGAGAGTCCAAGTTTCCCTCTCGAGTTGGCCTCCAGCTGTTTGTCGACGACGATCGAGTTAGACTATCAGCGCTTTGAATTACTGAGTCAACAGAAAAATGGTTTCCTCACAAGAAGTGAAGTTAAAAATAGTAAATATCCAAAGTCACCTCCAAGTGCTTTCCTCGTCACGAACCATGAACGGAAATTCTTCAATATATAAACATGTCTATACACGTGCTTAGCGTCAAGCCATAATGGGGTACAGGGGCGTGGAGGATCACCGTTAGGTACATAGAGGGAAGGATGAGTAAATCGCAACACGCCCATCAAGAATGGTTCAGCCCTGATGGTCAGCTCGAAACTAGTAGCTTAGCAGTACCCAACACGGAAGCTTGTATTCGCATGTCCCCTTTAAGCGTTAAAATGTTATTCCTCCATGAAACACCTGCAGTGAGGAACTTCATCCCAAGCATCTAAATCAGTGGCCTCCAACGTGGTGCCCGCGGGCGCCAAGGCTTTTTTTTTTTGGGTGCTCGGGTTGATACAGAAAGGGGTTATACTGAATAATGAAGGCTGTTCAACCATGAACATCATAAAATCAAAGCACAGATCTCGACTTACTGACGCCCATCTTGACGATTGCTTGCGAGCAGAAACATCATCCTACACTCCCAAATTTGAAAAACTGGCCGATGAAATGCAGCGCCAAACATCAAACTAACCTCCCACTTGAGTAATAATAATTGTACTTATAAAAGTACGTATTTTTGATTGCATCATTAAACGTCGTGTTGTTTTGTGTATTATTTGGTGTCCATATCTTATTTGTCCAGAGAAGAGAAAATTTGGCTTTGTTAATTGGTTGGTGCCTGCCACGATCTCATAAACTCTCAAATGTGCCCGTAGGCACAAAAAGGTTGGGGACCACTGATCTAAATGGTATTTAAACAATTTCCCAAAAGTTGGCATGCCCGGGAGAAAGCGTCTTGCATTTTACAGATAAAGTCTGTATTATGTTGTTATTTAAACCCTTTTCCGCATCGGACGTATTAAATGTCCCCTTCCGATCTCAGAGGCGAAAACATAATGTGTAATGAATGAAATGGGAGTTTGAATCAAATGAAAATAAAGAGAGAGACAGGGACAAAATAAAGAAACAAACGACGAAACAAAAGAAAGGAAAAGTCTGTCTGTAAAAAATGTCAGGACATTGTTATTTTTAAATGGCGTTGTAAAGGGACAACACCTGATGCAACGCATATTTGCAGCGTGAGTGGGCAGCTTCCTATGTCAGGCAACACGCCGATGAAGTCACCACATATAAGGCAATGAATTGCAACGAAACTACACGGTGACTAATAAGTCATACGCCAACAGTTCGAATGCAATAATAAATATTCTTTAGGGATGAACTGGAGTAACCTCGCAGTATTCCCGAGAGACTTCATAACGAAAACTGAAATAAAGACAAGCAGTACAGTACTCAATAAAATGTCAATATCCTGCCAAGATTTACAGGTGCAGAGTCGGCCTACATCTTCACTGCTTACAAAATAGACTATTCAGTCTGTCGAGTTTCCACGTTTTCAAAGACATCCCATAACTCACCTGACAGATTGAAGCAAACTAACAAAGCCTTGTTAGTTTACGAAGGCCGAGATCATAACGCAACATTTCCAGAATGCAAACAGTATTAATCACTAGACAACAAATTGAAAACAATATTATAAAATATTACGATACAATACCGAAAGTAGTGCCTTTGATTAAAATAAACGTTCTGCCTGAAAACAAAAACATAAATAAATCACGCCTTTAACGTTCTAACGGTCAAAAATGTAATTATGGAAAGAAAAGACGTTAAAAACAGACAATGGAAACTTACCCCAAGCCACTTCAATTAAGTTTACATTTTTACATCACATCAGTTCCATTTGAATATCATCTTCCCACCGTCCTTACGCCTAGGTCTCAAGTGTTCTACAAAGCTCCTCATTATATAATGTTGTATATTTTACTGTTGTTCCAATTCGCATTCATAAAGAATTGTATTTGATGGAGCGCTGCTAAAGATCCAACTAACCCACCAAGAAAATCTTCAGAGACAGGAGACTACTAGCAGTCATAATTTACTTGTTCTTTTTAAGGTGAGCACGTGATTCTGCAGACGTCAGCTGCCAAGTTAGGAACATGATATCAAGTGTAGCCTCCAGAATCAAACCAGGATCAACACTTCACAGTAAATGAATAGACACGTAGGACATGAAACTGGGTAGATCCCAGAGGCGATGTGGTCACCGCAGTGGGCGAGATGGAGGTGGGATTCTTCCCTGGGAACAACTGGAATGCTTCGCCGAGATTAGAATCCTCCACTCTCTCCACAGACCACCATCGCCTGGTATTTAGGCGCAGATGTAGATTTTGCATTTATCTGTTTGCAGATTAATATGTTTTGAACACAGACATTAAAGACGGGCGTCAACGTGATACATTTTAAAGTTCCGAAGGATCAGATTTTAGCGGTTTGAACTGCTCGTATTATTAGTATGTTCGTAACAAGCTTCCATACAAATTTCACGTGTCGTAACTACATCATCAGACAATGGTTCTTTAAGTTTTGTGGTGTTGGCTGATTCATTTGGCCCTTCACCAATATTATGTTGGGCATTGGTCACTGTCTGAAGAAAATAATACACACAGCGGATCCAAAATCTGCTCTGTTCTCGTCTTCTGATGACTGTTTAAAATTATTATTATTAAATGAATTGAATTATTATTA